AACCCGCCAAAAACCCTGCGGGTTTTGAAAACCCGCAGAAAGCGGGTTCGCGGGTTCAAAAGTGGCATCTCTAGTCTGTACCTCGGTCTGGGTCTGTATACCGCTGCATAGCAGGCCTGTACCCGTACCTCGGTACAGACCAAACTGAGACGGCGCACCTGAGTCAGGTCTTTGTGGTCTTTTTGAAGTGGTCTTTTTAGACCGAAAAGGCCTAGTCCAAAGAACCAGGACATGCGAAGGCGTTACAACTTATCAGCTAGTAGCACACCAGACAAACCGATCTCTTCCTTGTCAATTAGATCCAGCCGCACACCGCTGCTGCTGCTGTCCCTTTTCGACATGGGAATCAAATCACTTCTACTTAGTTATCAAACACGGAGGTAAAACTTTGTTTCAAATGCTTTAGGTCACCTTATACCAAATAGAAATAACTTTATCAAAGACTTGTAAATAGCTGCCATCAAGACGGGCTAAATCTGGCGAATGCACTTAACCCGCGCCCCGTAGGGCTACCGGCGGACCCTACCACCCGTAGGGGGGGGGGGGCCGTTTCGGCCCCCCCCCTAAGATCTCGGAAAGTTACCGGCCGATTTTCAAAATTCAAACGGCGTTCGATAGCCCCACCCGGGAACTACCTTGTGACCAAATTTCATTGACCTAGGTCAAACCGATGACGTCACAGGTCAGGTCAAAGGTCAGATTTTCACCGTTCACAGGCAATTCAAGAAATGTGCTGTGAAAGCGAGTAAATTGGTAATTTATTGAAAACTATCGATGGTACATTGTTCGTCAAACACATACTTTGCTATCTGAGGTCACTGATACCAGGTCAGGTCACAGCGAGGTCAGGTCACCGGGGGTCACAATATGAATGTGTCGTGTGATACATGTTTTATGGTCCATTTTACATGACAAATGCGATTATGTGGGTTAGGCAGCCTTTGGAGCCAGCCTAGGTCACGTTTTGGTGAAGGTCAGGTCAAGGTCAGGTCAAATTAGGTCAAATTTCAAAGTTGATATTTTTGCATAAATGGGTATTGATTCGATGCAGCTCGTCACGGGGAATCTAATGGTGGTCTTCGTTTTGCTCTACGAGGTCTAGAATTGCCAAAAATTGAGTTTGAAAATTTGACGTCATCATTTTTGAACAGTTTTTTGGCTATAACTTGGCCAAAAAACGAGGTATCGATCTGAAATTCGGTATGTAGATAGAAGACGGTAGGCGCTATCACATATATTCCGGTTTTTTCGAAACTCAAAAAACTTTTTGGATTTTTTGGCGAATATATCCAAAAAAATGCTTTTTTATTTTTGGGGGTCAAAACTCAAAAATTTCAAAAATTCGAGAAAACATTTTTGTAGCCCTGTCAATTCTACACCTTTTATGTCTTGATCATTTTTCTGTATCTTCAAAGCTGTAGTCCTGACAGGTCTTCTCGCAAAGGTCTTTTTTCGGTCGAAAATGACAGAACATGACGTCACTCTGACGTCATTTGTGGCCAACCTATCATAGCCTCTGGAAAAATTTTTGGTCACAATGTGTAAAATTGATGCCCGGAGGGGTCCTGAAAGTTTGGTGGCGATATCTCCAGCCGTTTAGGAGATATCGACCGAAAAGGACAGGGGGGGCCGTTTCGGCCCCCCCCCTACGGGGCGCGGGTTAATTTGACCAAATCTGTACCAAAACTCTTTTACGGCAAATATCTTTAAGCTATGAATTCATGTCAGTGCTTTAGTCGATTGATTATGAGCGAGCGCGAAGCAAGTTTTTTTTTTCTCAATATAACGGGAAACTCGGTATGAGCGGCCCGGCCCGACCCGGCCTTTGAGAGGCTTATAACGTAGTAACTGCTGGGCCGATTGACATGCGGTCTTTTTTTGTCGGGTACTCATCCCTTCTACCCTGTAATTGACTTCTCTTGATGCATCTATGTGACCGCTGTGTCACGTGCCACGTGAATCTCCAAGGGCGTTCAAGCTGTTTTGCAGAATTAACGCTTTTGAGAGGCTTTTTCTCGGCAACCGCTTGGGTGATTGACTTGTGGTGATTTTTGTAGGGTAGTTGCATCCCTTTTACCAAACATCGGATACTCTCGATGTATGTGGGCCACCCCCCCTGCACGCGCAAAATGCAAAAAGAAGAGGTGTCAAATTTGTTCCCATTACAATAACTCCGCAAGTACCGGGGCGATTTAGCTGAAACTTGGCTAGGCAGGCACCTGCACCAGTCAATGCATCACGATGCGTTACGGTTGGGGTGCTACCAGGGTTGTATACGACTCAATCAATAGCAATCAATTCAATCACGACAAATTTGGGAAACCAATCAAATCAATCAAGTCAGAGCAGTTTTCGGGAATTGATTCAATCGACTCAAACGCGACAATGAAAGGAATCAATCAACTCAATCAAACGACTCAAACCAACACATACATTAGGTTTTTTGCCCCACCAACTTGGAAAAGTGTCCATAGCAGTCTGGTGTACCTACCTACCTACCTACCTACCCACAGAAGAAACATAAAAATATTGTCATTTAAAATAATAAATTGCCATGCCATTCAAAGTTTCTATGTAATAAGGATGTATACCTAGTGATGGACAGGTGGATCATGGTATTGAGGTTCAATGGGTAGAATTGGAGCAGAAGTTTCATTTAATGGGTGCAAAATAACCCAGTAGTTGACTCGCCCCTTAACCCAAATCACCACCTTTCACCTAAAGGTTGTCAATTTAATTTTGGCCATATTCCAACTCCATTTACACTAAGTATCAGATATTCCGGTTGAAAGTTGGCTGCTCGGATTTTGGCAGTGTTCGTGATTTGGACAATTTACCCTACACCACGTCTATTTTAATGGATAATATGCATCAATAACATATTAACCATAGGGAAATAGAAATAAATATCTTACCTGCATGTGACGGTTTCAGTTAGACAGAGACTGACGGGCAGCCTGAAAAAATCTTTCCACACAATGTGCATTTGAGGGACGACGGTGAAAACAGGGCGCCTGGGGCGTTTTGGTCAAGGTTCGTGAAATTCACACGTGACATTTAGCATCTTGAAGGCCCTTGGAGGGGGGATAAGCTCCAAATGTCACGTGACTAATATGCCCTCCGGCGCCCTGTTTTCACTTTTCACCCATTTGAGGCGTGGGATGTTGTCAGATTGGGAAGGAAGAGATTTGAAGTATTTAGCGGTCCACGACTCTGGACGTGGCATGTCAATGTTAGGTACCTATGTGAAGAATTCAAAACATTTAATTGCAATACAATTTGAAACTGTTAGGACTGGGGGATAAGGATGAGGATTAAAAAAAATATTTAAAAGGAAATGGAGAGGACAGGGACTCTGGAACCACAGGATAAGATAAGGACAAAGGCAGTAGGAATAAAGAAAATTAAAACGCGAAAACGGCACGGTGCGACTGTGAATAAAAGAAAACGTTTTGCCAATAAGTATGCTAAGCTTTTATAAATCCTTATTCTACGTGTTTTGATTTTTTTTGTAAGATGATGTCATTGATTATCATGTACTATGGTAGATCATCATAAAATAAATCGGTTGTACAACACCAATTTCGTTTTAATTATTATTTCATTTGGAATAAAACCACTTAATAATATTCGGTAAAATATTTAAAAAAACGAAATATATTAAATATGTTATGCTTAGGCTCTCAGGAGAAAAGGATCAACAAACGTTCTGCTGCAATTTAAACAATGCAGCAAATTAGCTATTAATGGGCATACGTAAACGTAATTAGCGAGACGAAAACGGCGCTTTTGTTTCAGTTATTTTTGTAGGGGTTTCAGATATTTATAGAGTTCAGTGGGTTGTTTCTGAGGAGATGTGGAGATGTGAATTATTAATTAATCACACTTTATTAGTATATAGGGCCTTGCACTTTATCATCTGGATTAAAAAAAAACGTTTCCTGCTGAGTGCAGAAAGGTACCTAGGTAGGTGCATCGCCAGGTTCTATCACCAGGAATCAGGATTGGAGCAGTTATGAGTTATTGCAGTTGAAAGTCAAAGTTGGCTGTTCATGTTTAGGCCCTGTTCTTTATTTGGCCATCTACCCCATATTGCAGTTGTGATGACAATTGACAAGCAGTTTTCAGTGTAGTTTTGTGATCTTTGATGTCATCAGTTGGTGTCATTATTTTTCATCAACTAAAACTTATTTGAACTTTCCATTCAATCGACTCAATCATACGAGTCACTCTAATTTTCGGGAATCAAATCAGTCAACCAGTCGCTAAAGTCAAACGAGTCAGTCAACCAGTCATCTCGAAAAATCAATCGACTCAATCCAATCAACTCAAAATATGCGTTGAAACAAATCAATCAATTCAATCGACTTGATTGGTATACAACCCTGGGTGCTACTGCACGTGCGCACGTGTAGGAACCATTACCAGATCTCAGTTGCGGCTGGACCAATTGCCTCGAAAGTTGGCGCACCACTAGTGACCGGTAAGTGCCGTGCAGAAACCAGTTGGAAGCACCCTCTTGCCCTTCCGCAATTGCAGGGCTCACTCTCTGGCCCTCTCGTTCTTTGCCCAAAAGGCATTTTACTGGAAGTATGACAAAGAAGGCATATAAGCAATTGGCGCAACCCTAGCTAATAGCTTCGAAGAAACACACCGAACCTAATTTGACCAAATTTGCACAAAATCTGACTAAATGTGTACCAAATGTGTACCATATGGCCGTCGTAAAAATGGCTATAGGTGCCAAACACGTTTGAAAAAATAAAACGCGTTCAGTTAGATCTACTCAATATTCAAGACGGACTTCACTAAACAAAATTCAGCATTTTTTTTTCGCAAAGGCATCAGTTTTCTACATAAATCCGGCTTAGTTTTACCAGTTTTGCAGCAGCTGCAGTTTTTTACCAGTTTTGCAGTTTTGCAGCAGCCCGTCCCACCAGACCTTCCGCCGTCCCTCCCACCAGACATTCAGCAGCTCCTCTCGCAGCTCTCGGACTCACCGAACAGCTCGGCGTGCAGCTGCAGCCGGCCGAGGCCGTGCAGGGGCGCCGCGCCGTCTGCCGTCTCCGGCGCCGGCCGCCGGCCCAGAATGACGTCCATGCTGAACGGGTTGTCGGCTCGGCGCGGCGGACTGGAGGGGGCCGGCGGTGGCAGCGAACGGCCCCGCAGCAGGCCCGGGAGCGGATACAGCGGCCCGCCGAGGTACGGCAGGGCCGGGTACAGACACGGGTGGGCAAACAGCAGCGGAGGAGGCGGCGGCGGCGGCGGCAGGCTCGGCGGCGAGGCGCGGTAGGCCGTCAGGCCGGCCGGCGGTGACAGCGACACGCCGCGAGGAACGTCGCCGCTCTCCACCATGGCTGCAGCGCGGCGGACGTGGCTGCGGCGCGAGTGTGCGTCGACCCGGGAGGCCGCCGACGGCACGCAGTTCTGGGGCGGCGCCAGTCGGTGCGTCGACCAATGGGCGTCCATCGAGGGCGGTGTCCGCCGCTGGATGAGCTCCCACACGGATTTGACGGACGCACCGCCGAGATGTGGGCGCAGAGGCTGTCCCCAGCCGAACTCACAGCCGAATCCGCTCTCTTTGTTGCCTCTAGCTATCACTGAGCCGAGCTAAGAGGCGATGATCCCCTCTGGTTCAATTATCGGAGCTTAGATAGATGGCTTTCCCGATATCCACAAATATCCGCACAAATGGAGCTGAAGTCGCTAAGCGGGAGTATCGTTTGCACCCTAACCAAACGCTATACTTGAATATTTACGAGATGCAAGCTCAATAGGCGGACGGTGGTCACACTAACAAATGAGAGGCTACACTTTCCATATGCCCATTAGCTCGTAGATACTGCCGTTAGTTACCATTGCAACGAATCGGCGATGGTAATGGGATCCATCAGGCAATTTTGGGCATTTAAGCAGTGTAAAATCTATTTTCCCCGACGCGGCACCGTCCATCGCAACCATGATGAGTTGCAGGTGAGGTGACCAACGGGCCAGTTCAGCACACTCTGTGCCATTCTTGTCAAGCTCTACACCTGCTCGAGGGGCGTAGTCTGTAGGGGCGGCGCAGCATGCAACGACTGTTTAGCCTGGCCCATGGCACCTACCTGGACGCGCCGAAGGTTGTTGCCTGTTGGATGATCGGGAAATGGCCACATGACGATGCACGGAGAGGCCAGCCAATGAAGCAGGAACTGACCAAGGAATGCATACATACATGTATGTATGTATGCATGTATATATGTATGTATGTTTGACGTATGTATGTATTGACATCAAAAGCCTCCCACATAAAGCGTGGCGATTACGGCTTACGAGTATCCATTATGTAAAGCGGCTGTATAGTCCAGGAGAAGAACGCCGAGGCGAGTGGCCACGCCAATAGCTTCCTCGGCGCCTGGCTCGCGTGAATATCTGCGTGCGAAGTGTTGAGTCGACGCCGGTCTCAGCCGGATCTGCATGCACACTGCAATTGTGTTCTTTTGTTATTGCACAGGGCCGTTCAAATTACTTTCGTGTCACCTTTCGTATCTGCTCATACGTTGCTGCAGTTATTTTTGCCAGTTTTATTGTCATTGCCTTGCATCAACTTATTAACCCTCGCACTCATAGGGAGGGGGGGGGAGGTCGAACGGACTCCCCAATCCCCACCCTCTCGGTTTTCGCAAATGACTCGCGCAAAAAGCGGCTGCAGTTGCAACGAAATTTTCAGTACCCTCGAGTTTATCAATTTTACAAATACCCAAAAATTTAATGACCCTGACCCAAATGACCTTTGACCTGTGGCCTATTTCTCGAGACCACGTTTGGCCGGAATCGCGCTTCGGCGTATGTCGGCTCACATTATCCGCACGTTTGTAGTCTGTTTGTGTTTTTAAACTCTCAAACACGTGAAATGATGTTTTTCCCATGCATAATGGTGAGTGTAAAGGTCACGTGAAGGTCAGGTCAGGTCAATGACCTTTGATGATCTTGGTTCACTTTTTCGAGTTTTAAATGTTTCTATGCTAGTTGTTGGAGCTAGTGATGTCAATTACAGAAAATCTGAATACCGATACCAAACCAAATACCAACATAAACCGTAAAGAAATACCGATACCGAACCAACTTCATAACATGAGGGAAATACCAACTTTTAACCAATTTCTCAGCCTCTTATACATAAGTGAGGGTTCATAATACCAACAAAATACCAAGTAGGTACATTAGGATTGAAATACCAAATGCCAAGTTGGTATCGGTTTGGTATCGGTATACCAAAAAGTTGGTATCCTATTGACATCTCTAGTTGGAGCTGATTTCGAATTTAGCAGCCATGTCAATTTTCAACATTTACGAAGAAGTTTTGGTGCCTTCGTAACATGTGACGAAGTTGTCAGTGATGGTTGACGCCTACTACGAATACCTGGCAGGACGCCTACTGGTTGACCTGACCTGTCCTGACCTGACATGGCCTAAATGCATGAAGACATCATCTGTGATAAGAACTAAAATGAAATTCGTTATAAGCGCCCCGAAAAAAATAACAACCTCACTTAACAAAGTTCTGACAGGTCCCGCGATTTTCCCGACTTCTGGCTCATTGACCTGACCTGGAAGGTTAACCAATGACCTAGGACCTTAAACTTGGGTACCATCGGCCTCCTCTCGTCACGGGCAGCACGCTCGTTTTTTTTTTTCGAAGCACTAGCTCGATCATGGGCCGAACGGCAAGGGGGTCCAACGGACCCCCTCCCCTATGCGTTCGCGGCTGGCAAAACATCAATACGGGCGAGGGTCAAATTTCGACTCCTAGTTTGCGTGCTGCGTAGTGACGAGTGGTAAGCAGCACTGGAAAAGTCGCCAAAATCATGCAGACAGCACCTTATTCATTTTCGGTAAGTAGCCCATAGATATCTAATACCTACCTATGAAATAATCGGCGATCAGGGTGCTCCGCCACGTCTTGGTCGTTGCGCCATGCGGGGGCCAAAGAAAGCACTGGCTTCGAAAACTACCCTGATCAAAGAGCATCACGCCTCAATTCTCCCCCGATCCCGAAGACCATAAGGGTCCAACGGACCTCCACCCTCCCCTTTATACGTTTGCGGCTGGCAAAACACCAATACGGGCGAGGTTTAGCCTCAATCGTTAGTCTCAGAGCAACCGTTCAGTCAGCGTGGCTACGGCGAACATTTACTTCATTTAGGTGAGGTCACTTAATGAGCTGACCTTGAAAGGTTTGCATTTGCAATTTTCGCAACATGTACGGAATAGTTATGTTTGGCTGACATACGGAGTGATAAGAAGTGAACGGTAGCGCGATATTCGCCAAAAAAGCACAGAACAAACATGTGGAAGCATAAAAAGCCTCCTTCGCCACTGCTGCTGAACAAGCCTGTGAGCTTTGTCGGCCAACCACTGTCGCTGTGTGTCCCTCCAACATTATTGTCATTTGACCTGATTCACAGAGCGATCAAACAAACGTGTTCAGGCATGAACCCCAACACTTCATCGATACGTCATCCATGCCCTCGTCTGCTGATGGTGGCACCACTTCGCTGCAATGCGGGGAAACCCCGCTGCAAAACCGGCCCGTGGGCGGCGTCTGGGGCCGGTCCAAGGCCAAACCACTGCCCAGTCTGTCAGACAGGGCCTCCGGCGTGCCCCGCTCCCCTGACCACCCTCCCTCCCCTTCCCCTCCCCACCCTCCCTCCCTCCCCAGCCTACAGGCGCCGACGTGAGCACACAATGCCAAATACAAGTCCGGATCACTGTAATACCGGATCAGCCGACGACGGAGCTAATCCGTGGAAAAATTCTTCAGTCAGCCGGCTGTGTGTCTGTGATGGGCATCTTTGTGCGCGGATAGACGTGATCTGTTTTCACCTTGAGCCGATAAAGCCGGTCGGGCCCGAAGGATTACCGCAGCTGCCGCTACTGGTGTCCGTATAATTGGCGTCGCGGTTAGGCACCGATGTTTGCCATGAGGCGTTTATTGAACTGGGCCTGACAATCATACAATCGTTCACTCAGACGTTTAGTTGAAGTACACAAGCTCAGCGCAAGTTTCTATATCCCGAATGACGCAACTGCTGAAATTATTTGTGATGCCAAGCATGACGCACCAGCCACAGCCATCACCACAAGAGGTCGCATTTAATTAATTGCGGCGTGAAATCCGCTCTGGCTGCGCACAACCCAGTCAGAGCCCATTGTCTGCCTCCTGGCGCGAGTGTGATCTTTGGGCTGACAGCCAAATGGCCCGAGGGCACTCTGGCAAAATGCCCTCTATTCATCGCCATAACGCGCTCATTATCCGAGGGCGCTGGGATTTGTCTGAAGAGGCCGGTGGGGCTGACACGTTAATTTGACGCCGTCGGTGTGGCGCTGTCGCCGCCGCGGCTCTCAGCAGCCCCGCTCTGCCGTCGGTGCTGGGGGAGGGGAGGGCGGACGGGGGGAGAGTGGTCGGGGGACCGGGGTTGCCCCTCCAGCGACGGTTTATTGTTGCAGCGAGGCGATAGGTGCCTGCGGCACTGCATATACATGCCGCCGATGCCGGCCTCTGCAAGATTAAACATGAAGAGCTTTCCACGTAGGCAAGGCGTGACTTCTCATCCCTATCCGCAATTACAGCTCAATGGCATTGATTTATATAAACAATTCACTGAAACGTTCAATTAAAAGCTGAACCGCCTTTCTGTCAGTTGTCACGAACGCAGTTACATCATCACCATTGGATAAATTTGTATGGAACTGTGGGTGCTCGGGCACTGCAAACCAAACATGTGCATGGATCCGAGAAAATGTATCGGGATCTGATCCCAGGGATCCTGATCTCGGATCCAATAGATCATATATCCAGCTATTTAATTTATCGAGAGATACCTTGGGATCATAGACCCGAGTCTACATAATGTTTTATTATAGATCCAGTGATACCATACCTATCATAAAGCCTCACACATTTCTTGTCAACTATATGTAAATCATAACGTTTCACCTGTTTCAACTCACATAAATTCTTTTTTTGTGATGTTTATGTGTAAGCACGTCACAATTCATAGTTTTATGGCACTTATTGACGTGGTTTCAAATGTTGTTTAGGGTGCAGGATCTACTCGAATCATATAATCCATGTCATTGGTTTATCGTCAGCTCCTATATAAGATTTTGACTATATAACTATATAAGGTCATACTGACGATGAATATAATTTTCACACGGGATCCGGCGAGATCATAGGTCCTATTTGGAGTTTGCTTCGAGATCCATTAAGATCATAGGTCCATCGTTCGGATCCATGCATGCATATGTCTGCCGCAAATCCGCCTCCCAGGGCGTTGGCCACGAGTCTCGCCGTCTGTTGCGGCGGTCCCAAAGCCAAGCCGGCGTTGATAGTGAGAGTTGCCAGACCCACAGTCCAGCACAGTTATTCACATTTCAACTATGCCTATCGCAGCTGCCTACCTATCCACCCCCCCCCCCCCCCCCAGCTCCCTCTGACCTCCCAGTCCGC